ACCAGTTATTAACTTTCTGAGCAGTTTGGTGAACTGGTTGTTGGAAGAAATCATTAGGGCAGAGAACCGGTTGTTAAATTATTTGAATCCCACCACTGCTTACGACCATTTTGTCACACTTAATGACCATTGCACCATCACCATGGTAACGTGATCAAAATTCAGATGCTCAGCAACCGATTCATATTTAAGATGGTTGCAGCATCCCTGGGTCACTTGATCGCCTTCTGACAGATCTGCCTAACAACCAGGTTACTAACTTAATACAGGTAGTCCTCAACTTACGGCCACATTTCTGTTGTCAAGGGAGAAATTTGTTAAGTGAGTTTTGCCCCATTTTACAACTTTTCTTGCCATGTTTGTTGAGTGAATCACTGCAGTTGTTGAATTACTGGTAATAACATGGTTGTTAAGTGAATCTGGCTGCCCCATTGGGCAGGGGATCACGTGACCCTAGGACACAGCTACTGTCATAAATATGAATCAGTAGCTAATTGTCTGAATTTTGATCACATAACCATAGGGATGCTGCAATGGTCTTAAGTGTGAAAAACGGTCATAAGCCACTTTTTTCAGTGATGATGTAACTTTGAACGGTCACTAAAGGAACTGTCATAAGTCGAGGACTGCCTGTATCTGTCCAGATCACAGTACCATGCAGGTACTCCTCGACGTACGGCTGCAATTGATCCCCAAGTTTCTGTTGTTACGGGAGACATTCGTTAAGGGAGTTTTGTCCCATTTTACGACTTTTCTTGCCACGGTTGTTAAGTGAATCCGGCTTCCCCCATTGGTTTTGCTAGGCACCAAAGGGGAAATCACATGACCTCGGGACACAGCAACGGTCATAAATACGAGTCAGTTGCATCTGAATTTGGATCGCACGATCACGGGGAGGCTTGCAAAGCTCGTCACTGTGAAAAAGGGTCTGAAGCGAGGGTAGGCAGGGGTTCCGGAGAACTAAGATTCTGTGCAGTTTGGAAAACCCCCAAATCCCACTCCCGGATGGCCCCACCCCTCCCCTTCTCTCCCAGGATTCCCCACATGGCTTGTTTTGGATTCAGGTAAGTACAGGGCGCGCGTGGAGGCTCGGGAAGGGCCAAAAACGGGCCTCCCAGAAGTTTGAGAAGGCTGGAAATGGGCCAGCTTCCAGAGAGCCTCCGGAGTCCGGGGAGACCGTTTTCACCCTCCCGGAGGCTCGAGGAAAGCCTCCGGAGCCCGGGCAGGGCAAAAACGCCTTCCCCTGCCATGATGCAGGAGGCCGATTAGGCCACGCCCACCATGGCCACGCCCACCCAACAACCAGGCAGAGAAACCCTTTGCTTAAAATTTTTGAAGCCCACCCCTGGTCGAAAGTCACTTTCCCCCAGTGCCGTTGCAACTTCAAACGGTCACTAAACAAACTGTTGTACGTCGAGGACTACCTGCGCTGACTTGTGGCTCGTCTCTTGCAGTGACTGAACAAGCTTTCTGCAAACAGTGGGTCACCCCTGTTTTCCGTGGCCTTCAGCCATCAGAAAGATGGACCGGTTTCACAAACGGCCTAAATGATGAAATGTTTTTCCTCTGGCACTCTGGACGGCTTCGTCTCGTTTCTTTGGCAGCCCCAAAGCTATTGGGAGAGATTCGTGGTGTGCCCAGCCTTGATGTCCCAATGCAGCCTCTCTCGCCCCCTTGTCCCTGGGCCAACTGTCTAAACTCCACAAGGCCAAGGAGTAACACTGTACAAGGAAGAGTTTGGAAATAACCCCAGTCTAAAAATAAAACCACAACAAGCCAACCCCCCCCCCCCCACTCAAGCTTGACGTTTCCTGGACTTTTGAGTGGCATGAAACCACCCCGATCATGTTGAGGGACCGTGCCAGGATTTGGGCATCGGTCTATAAATGGAGAACACCTTCCCGATGGAGAGCTGAAGATCTTCACAAGCCCTTCCAGCTTGAAGGAGAAGGTGGTCTTGAAAATCCCGCCATGGAGAATCAGAACGGAGAGCGAATTCCCATGCAGAGATACTTCTCAGCTGTCCGTCACATGGAGCAGACCGTGATGTTCCCCAGCCTTCTCCAGGGGGTCTTGTTGGAAGACCAAGAGGATCCAGCCGGAATCGACTCCGAGAAGGAATGTCCCAGGGACAGAGATCTGTATGACTACTTCACCCTTCTAAAATCCATCAAGTCCACAGCTGAAAGCGGTCTACCTCCTCTCAATGAGAAGTGTCTCAGCTCCCGGGAAGAAGAAGAAGCTAGGGAGAAGACTGATCTTGAAGGACTCTTTCGGTACCACATTTCTGGCTTGTATCACGTCCTCACCCAACTGACCACTCGAGCCAATGCTGTGACTTCTAGGTACAATGAAATTCTGGGACAGATCAATCAGAATGCAATCACTTTTCGTTGGTAGAAGAGCCTCGAACAAAGAGTGAGTTATCTTTGTAGGTTAAATGTCTACTTCGCATCTTTAGATCTTCTAAAAGTTTCTCCATTATAACTATGATGTGACTGAAAGATGATCTGTGTACATGTAGTAATTCTTGCTAACAAGATCAAAGCGATTTCCTTCCTTCCTCTTTCTTCTTTCCAATGGTTGTCCATCCATCCATCCATCCATCCATCCATCCATCCATCCACTTTCCTTCCTTTCTTCCCTCCAATATCCGTCCATCCATCTTCCTTCCTTTACTTCCTTCTCTGCATTTCCTTCTTTCCTGCCTTCCTTCCCTTCCTGCCTTCCTTCCCTGCTTGGCTGCCTGCCTTTTCTTCCTTTTTCTTTTTCTTTCTTTCTTTCTTTCTTTCTTTCTTTCTTCCTTCCTTCCTTCCTTCCTTCCTTCCTTCCTTCCTTCTCTCCAATGTTTGTCCATCCATCTTCCTTCCCTTTCTGCTTGCCTTTCCTTCCTTCCTTCCTTCCCTTTCTTCTTTCCTTCCTTCTTTCCTCACCCCTTTCTTTTCATTTCTGCAGTATTGGCAGAGAATGATTGAATAATCTTGACCTTTGTTTTTACTCCCTATCCCTGTGGATGGCCTTCAACTCAGAACATCTGATGAGTCCCAAATTAGAAGAGATATGATATCCTTTCTGGAGATGGGCTTGGAGAAACCTTCCCTCAAGCCTTCTTGTTAACACCTTGTTTCCTACCTATTTTTCAGGAGAAGCTGGACTTTGTGGTGGAGGTGATTGTACAGATTCAGAGTCCTGTGCCTGGGGAGACAATTTCGGATGCAGCATCCTTGACAAGAGATTTATCTAATTGTTGTGGAACCTTATACTTGAATCATTCCAGCACGGACGTCTGTGGTCAGAAGAATTTTCTGTGCCTGGTACTGCTAATAATTGTAGGCTTTGTGTATTATTCCTATTTTTTCGTATTTTAAATTGTTTGCTGGTTAAACGAATAAAAGAGTTGAATTTCCTGGTAGACGTGGCTGGTTGTTCTTTTTTTGGGGGGCGGGGGTGTTTTCATTTAGAACATGGTCCTTCTAGTAGTTTTGGGCCTTGAGTATAACTCCTGGGTCTGAAATCTTTCCTATCTTTGATTATGGAGACAATATGAGTGTCCGGGCCTGTAATTATTTATGTACTATTATTAATTTGTGTGTGTGTTTTTTAGTATATTTACTTTTCCTCCAAGATGGCTTCAGGGATGAATGCCCCTTTGTTTTTCTTACTCCCAACAACAGCCGGTGGGATAGACCGCGGAGGGGTTTGGGAGGAAGAGAATGACTCCCAAATCTCCTATTAAGCTTTTATAATTAAAAGTGAACAAATTGAGGCTAATTCAACCCTTTAACCGGCATACCCCATTGGCTCTCTTAGGTTTCCAGAAAAGCCCAGCAAGAAAAGGCAGTTTTGCTCTGGGGAATACAGGTGGGGATTGGGGAATGCGTAGGTGCTGCCATTTAAAGCCTCCCATAAGGTGGTCTCTTTAACACTAGGATATATAATTTTTGATAGACACACATAGACACACAGAGAGAGAGACACTCATTCTCCCTCCCTCCCTCCCTCTCCTAAAACCTGGGAGGTTGTGAGTTCTAGTCCTGCCTTAGGCATGAAAGCCAACTGGGTGACTTTGGGCCAGTTCATTTTGAGGTCCTTTTAAAGTTTCAGCAGACCCACCTGGGGGCCACTTATGAACCTGGTCAAAGTTCTGAGAGTAGCCTCCCACCCCGCATCACAGCATCCTGTTTGTCATCACACGGATTTTGACACCCAGATGCCCCCAAGACACCACCTGTACGTGTTCAACCCCAGCTAAGGAATTTGTCTTAGGGCTAAGAATGACTCCTTGTTAGAAAAATAAATAAATCACGTTCTTTCGGGATCCATAAAAGGAAATATATGAATACATAAAGATGGTTAGAGCTTCCGTTGCGCAGTTATGGCCATTGTCCTGCTGTCATACCCAGGCAGTCCTCAACATACAACCACAATTGGGACCTGGAATTTCTGTTGCTAAGCAAGGTGGTAAGGTAAGACACACCCAATTTTATGACCTTTCATGCTGTGGTCATTAAGCAAATCACTGTAATTGTTTGGTGAAACATGCAGTCGTTAAGCAAATCCGGCACTCCCCATTGACTTCGCTGCTTGGGAGCCAGACGGGGAAGGTTGCAAACGCCGATCACATGTTCCTAAATACATGCTGGTTGCAAAGTTTGCCCAAATTTTGATCACGTGACCTTGGAGAGGCTGAGACGACAGTGCCATGCTTGTATTCCTCACTGTTCCTTCAGAAAACCCACCTTAATTCAGTTCTATTGGGAGTCTTCCCTTTTTTTCCTCTGAATAATTCAGAGATTAGGCAACGTGCCTGTTTTCCTTTCTTTCCACTGTTAGATTTTGCTGTAGCTCAGAATCTGAATAAATCCCAATGAAACCCTGAAAACTGATAGGTTTATTTTGATCAAAGCAAAGACTGTGTGACCTTAATCTTTCACTTTTAAACAGCAAGGCGTGGAGAGAAAAGCAGGTGTGCAAGGGGAAAAAAAATCTTTTTTCCTTCTTATAGTTTCACACACGGCTTGCATAGATCGTCCTTGCTATAGAAGCATAAATTTCATATCCACGGTGATGGGCCGGCTCCTAAAATAAAGCCAGGTCATGGCTTACACACTTGAAAGTAAATCAGGAAACTGCAATTGTGTTTGGCAAGAACAAAGAATGCTTATCCATAGGAAATATGCATGTGTAAAGCTTGTAACAATTCTGAGTAGTTAGAAAGCTGATAAAAGTAACGAGTTAAGCAACTTGCAGACCTCAGCTAAGTTAGGAATAGAGATGGCCTGCAGCAAATAAAATGTGTATTAGATAACTCCTAGGGCAGTGATGGCTAACCTATGACACGCGTGTCACTCGTGACACGCCGAGGCACTTTGACTGACACGCCTGTTGGTGTGGGGAAAACCTGCACATTTAGAGGCTGCCTGTGCTCTGCTCCAATCCCTGCTCCCTGCTTGTTGCATGGACGCGTGGTGTCACCGCTGCCGCGAGATCTTTGCAGCAGAGAACAGTTTTAACCGCCATAAACTGAGGTTTGTCAGTTTCATTACCTCAGGAACGCTACAGGAGGAAAGGAGATCCATGAGGTTCACAGCCCTGTAAGGTGGCCTTCCGATCCCCACATCCTGCACCTGCAGCCCTGAGACCAGGGAGACGAGTTTCACAGCCCTGTGTGATCACCCCAGCCCAGTCCGTCATAAACCAAATTATTGATATTTCTTGAAGTGACACACGACCCGAGGAAGGCTACACTTTTTCCCGATTTTCGACACACCAAGCTGAAAAGGTTAGCCATCACTGTCCTAGGGCATTCATTAGCCAAGGCTTGTGAACAGGGACAGCGAGAGACCAATAGAACAAATTGTAGAATTATTACTAAAATGTTTATTAGATGATATTTCTTATTCTCTCACCTTGTCTCACCTTCTCCTTTAGTCAAAATGTGTAAATCCTCGGTTCTTGGCATTTGGGCCAGGAGCCCTTTTCCTTGGAGTATTCCAATAAAAAGCCATCAGAAAGCTGTATCTGGCGTCCATTGTTGGCTTCGGCACCAGGCTAGAGATCCAAATTGGGGACAATTGTTTTATGCAAATAGATTATTCAAATTGCTTATAGTAAGCTATGACTATCACTATGTATCGTATCTTTATGATTCTTGATGAATGTATTTTATTTTTTCTTATGTACTCTGAGAGCATATGCACCAAAGAAAAATTCCTCGGGTATCCAAGCACACTTGCCGCTCTGAGACAATGGACCTCAGAAAGAAAGAAAAAGGAATACAAATTTTGAAAGAGCTTCCTAGGGTTGTTATCTTCATATTGGATACTTGCAGCAGGCAGAATTCACATTT